GGTTAGCCTTAACTCTAAAAGACTATAAATATAGAGTACAACAGGGTTAGCCTTAACTCTAAAAGACTATAAATATAGGGTACAACAGGGTTAGCCTTAACTCTAAAAGACTATAAATATAGAGTACAACAGGGTTAGCCTTAACTCTAAAAGACTATAAATATAGGGTACAACAGGGTTAGCCTTAACTCTAAAAGACTATAAATATAGAGTACAACAGGGTTAGCCTTAACTCTAAAAGACTATAAATATAGGGTACAACAGGGTTAGCCTTAACTCTAAAAGACTACAAATATAGGGTACAACGGGGTTAGCCTTAACTTTGTAAGACAGAGTACAAATACAACGTACAACAGGGTTAGCCTTAACTTTGTAAGACAGAGTACAAATATAGGGTACAACAGGGTTAGCCTTAACTCTGTAAGACAGAGTACAAATATAGGGTACAACAGGGTTAGCCTTAACTCTAAAAGACTATAAATATAGAGTACAACAGGGTTAGCCTTAATTCTAAAAGACTATAAATATAGGGTACAACAGGGTTAGCCTTAACTCTAAAAGACTATAAATATAGGGTACAATAGGGTTAGCCTTAACTCTGTAAGACAGAGTACAAATATAGGGTACAACAGGGTTAGCCTGAACTCTGTAAGACAGAGTATAAATATAGGATACAACAGGGTTAGCCTTAACTCTAAAAGGCTATAAATATAGGGTACAACAGGGTTAGCCTGAACTCTGTAAGACAGAGTATAAACATAGGATACAACAGGGTTAGCCTTAACTCTGTAAGACAGATTACAAATATAGAACACAAAATGATTAGTACTACCTCTGATATCCAGAATGTAAATATAAATCACAATAGATGTGTCATGAGTCAGATGGTAAAATTTAAAGTTATTGTCTAATGATAACTAGGTGGTCCTGGAATACTAACGACCTCTCGTGGATTAAACCTGAACTAAGCTTTAAGAAAATAGTGTACCAGAGATACAATAAAACTTTCACATGCTTATCTAATACCAGAAGAAAACCTTTTAAGTTTCTTTACCTTGCATGGAAAATTCAACTCATTTAACAACTTTGACAAGAAACACCATACGTACAAGCTTCGTCTGAGCACATAAAGAAAGAGTAGTTCAACTTTTGTTTCTTGGTTATTAAGCACAAAGCCACATAATGGGCTGTCTGTTCTGTCCTCATCATAGATATCAAAACCTAATTTGTAGTATTATAAGCCTTCAAGTTTACCACCGAGACATTTTTCAAAGATTATGGATCTGTATCAGTAAGACCGTAGACCTACCATGACAAACTTGTCAGACTGATCAAGGCTTTCACCCACAGTGTCGTACTGCCCAAATTGTAGTTGTTGTATAACATTTGCCTGCTGATTCTGTTGTTGTTGATGATGAAGTAAATAGTTAGTATCTGTTAAGGAATTTCTGCTCAGAGATGAGCCAGGCCCAAGGCCTGGAGAGTTAAGTGGAGAAAAATGTTGAGACACTGGAGAAGTAGGAGCACTAGATGAGTGATCTGATGTGTTGTTGGTATGGTACGACCCCACAGGAATCTGTGAAGGTTGAGATTATCAAAACATTAACATAATCTGTAACACAATGAAAACTGTTCAGATTTATTACCTGCAAAAAATCAGGACATAAATAAAAAAAAGACAGTTATATATATATATATATAAGTAGAGCTGGGTGTTTAACTTGATTACCTATGGACATTGATTACTGTCATATATAATAGTCAATAAATCAAATTTACAATGAAATCAATTAGCCATGAAATTAATAAACTGGCAGAAATTAATGTTTTCAATTACTCCAACTATCCACATGTCTGAAATATTGTCATTGTCATGTTTATTATTATTTTTGGTTAATGAAATTAGTGTTACTGATTATTCCTGCTATCCAAAGAAACATTTATTTTTGATTAATTAAGTTTGATCAGCTTTATCCCTAACTTTGAACTGCCGACCAGAGAGAAGGCTGGCAGCACCCACCACCAACCCTTGGGCTAATGTAGTGTTAACTGAAGTGTAATTTATTGTTTTTTATATTACGTTATGTTGCTAATTTATTATTGCATATTGTTCATTGATATTGAATAAGGTGTAAAATTACTCTTTTTTTACATTGTAATTTATAATTTGTGTAACTGTTTTCTTTAGTGTTAAATAAACTATAATTTGACTTTTGTACATTTTGAACGTATTACGTTTGTAACACCACACGAGCATGTGCGTGTTCTGGTGAAAGTTGTGAGAGACACTGGTACGTCTGAAACCTGCAACTCTCTGATCGTTGTGAAGCAGTATTCTCTGTTCAATCAGTCATGCCAGACTTTTAAACATAGGATAAATTACAAATTAAAACAATAATCAAATCAATAAAGTGTTAAAAGTTGGATGTATCAAACATCTTATTAAGGTAAAAAAAAACAAGTACATTTTCTACTACATCATATTTTGTATTGTATAGACTAATATTATAAAAACATGATTAACTATGTATAAACCAGCTACAATTCATTATACCTGTCATTAACCCTAGTAAACTGTGCTTGAAGTAACTTGTAAAGCCATCACAAAAGTTTTACATCTTTTCTTTCACAAGGGAATGTAACGATATGCAACTGGCAATGTTTTAATTAATTGTTATTCACTTGAGCAAGTTTTTAATGAATAATGAACCCATTTACAGAACCTAACCAGGATCGGAACTTGAAATTACATCAGGCAAGAAGTTGACATCGTAACAATTTTGAATTTAAAACTGTTAAAAATCAAGACTTTTACAATGCACATAATAATACACAAGATTTACTGAAGTGTGTATCATGTTTGTTTACAAAGTTAACTTTGATAAATATTATATATATAATAAATACAAAATTTGAAGTACTATATAATATTTATATTTTAAATTCATGTATATAATAATACAAAGAAATTTTTCATCAACATTAGTTACCCACATCTTCAATGAAAAGCTAATATAAA